CGGAATTTCCGATTTATGGTTCCAGCAAACGCGAAATTTCCCCCAATGCGGAAAACTGAAAAATTATTGCAATCCTAATTCAATACCGAATAGAAAACCGAATTAAAAATAGAATTTTGCAACTTGAATCTTCGATAGCAATGCAGAACTAATTCAGAAAAAGACAATGCTAATTAAGCAATCGATTCCTTAATCAGAATTACCCTGTGAGCAAATCCACTTAATTGGTCTGCTCCGATACCAAACTGTTACGTACTAGTGAATACTAACTACACCAAGAGTGGGCAGAACCAAAGATCAACCAATATAGGATGAGCATGTATACAGGGGAAGTCGGGAGAAATGGACTGACTCACATAGACTGAGCTCACCCAAACATCACTCAACACACAAGCAATCGTGAGATGGTGGGGTCAATGGTAGCCCAAAATGTCACCGAACAAAATCAGAATGCCGTGGACATAAGTCGCCAATGTTGGAGGTACAAAATCCTAATGTAACCGATGTCCGATCTGTGATGCCGCCAGGTATCAATCCCAACTATCTCCAATGTCTCGTATCTGGTAAGAAGAAGAAGAAGAAGGAGCAGAAGACTGAGAGGGGTAGAGGTAGTAGAAGAAGTCCCGGGAGGGGCAGAGCATAGGCGGAGCTGGCGAGTAGCCCAGGCCCTACCTTTAACTGAAGGTGGCGCCTTGCTGCGGCTGGAGATAGCTGCGCCGCTGGAGCTATGGTGCTCACAGTGGCAGTCAGGTAAGTCCCCTCCACTCTCCTCTCTACTGCAGTGCGCTAAACTTAGCGCTGCAGTTTCCAGCGCTGTGCTGAACCCAGAATATCACAGGGCTGCAGCTCCACAGTGCCGCTTCCCAAAGATGCCTGAAATGGCCGCTGGACCGGCCTAAGTACCGGCTGGCGGCCGGTCGGCCTCAAGGGCGCCGCCAGGCCCAACGGTAATGTCGATTCAGATCAGACCGGCGGGCGGCAGCCTCAAGGGCGCCGCCAGGCCCAACGGTAATGTCGTTTGGGCCTGTACCTGGTCTGCTGCAAGAAGACCAACTGGTGCCTCAAGGTGGTCTACGGGGAGAAAGGTCCGTCCTTTTAGCTGGGCCGGCCTAAGTGCCCCTAAGCCTAGTGGTCGGGTCCGAAAGGGACCCATGTGGCATCAGTATGTAACAGGTGCGCTGCGTGAAAGGAGGGAGGAGGGAGGCTATGGCGAGAGGGACGAGGGAGGAGGCAGGAGGGGATGCGCTATGAGAAAGGAGGGATGAAGGAGGGAGGAGGAGGGAGGCTATGGCGAGAGGGATGAGGGAAGGCTATGGTGGGAGGGCCTTGTTTCTAATTTCTATGCATATGTGTTT